ACATGATTCGAACTGTAAGCAGATGATTTGCATTCCCTATTATAACTATTATAATTTCAGTATGTGTATAAGTGTCACTGTCATAAAAAGTCAGTGCTATATTAAAATACAGTATATCCAAATTAGAAGTTAACTAAATAAGGATAGTCTAACAGAATTATCCTAACATAGTTATTTCTACTGTAATACAGTATTTAACACTGTAACACCAGTCCAAATTCACAACATTCCAAAATAAGAAAAAGCGGGATTCTGAACGGACTCAAATATTTGTATTGTAGAGTCCGTTCAGGGTTACGTATTTTCTTCTTATTGCTAGGCATTTTATGAATTTGGATTTGGACTGGATAAAAATTATGGAGTAGTCCTTAGCATGGCTAATGCTATGGTACATAAGATCTAAATTCAAATTAGCAAAAGTTGGATGTATATTGATATTACTCAGGAAGTTTTATCAGCAATCTAAATCTAAAATAGAAATTTTATGACAAAATCATGTAATCTTATTGAATTCGGTTTGTTTAACATTGTTTTGCACTTGGTTAATTGACTAATCAGTAAGATCTATTACCGTAAAAATAACAGATTTCGTCATTATCAAATAGTAAAATTGGAAAAAATTCTTGTAAAATGTTGGTAATTGGAAAATTTCATCATTATAAAGGAGTTTAAGTATTTCCTATTAATTCTACATTTTATAAGCTACCAAGCAAACTACTATTGCTAATAATTATATAAATAATTTTAACTTAACACCATCATTTCTTTCCTAAGGGCTTCTAATTACGATAGAAAGTCTTAAAAATTACCAGTATATTCGCTAATGAATTAGTATGAGTAATCTATAGATTTCATTTTAGCTACTTCAACTTACAATACTTTCAAAAAGCCATTTAGATGAACGAAAATATCAACAGGAATTTCTTGCAATTTACAGTTGCTTAAGTCGCTGTAATAATCAGAAATAAATGAAGGCAATAGAAAATGCTAATTATGCCTAAAAAAATTTCTATTAAGTATCAGTATCAGGCTTTCAAATTTAGTTGTTGAATTTAAAATTGTAATACAGAATAATAGACAGCTTAACCACCTACATAGCATAATCAAAGCATTTAAATTTATTCCCTGTTGAAGATACTAGTGGTGGTATGCAGAGATCGGTAACATAAAGTCCTCGAATAGTTTGCTTAATAGTGGACAGTGACATGTTGTTATGACCTATGGATCTAAAATTTGAAATGGTAATAATTTAATACCTAAAATGAATTAACGACTTGAATTACGATAATATAATATCAGAATTTTCAGAGACAGCCTTTTCACAATTTAGATACTAATAAAATCTATTTATATCTGCCCACTGAATGCAACGGCAATAAAAATAAATTTATTATATGTATGAAAATGCAATGCTCTAGTGAATCTTTAATCTAATTGAATATTAACTAAAATGTATTTAAAATGGAGTCAATTTAATAGTTATGAGTATCACTCACAGTGCTCTCAGATAGAGATTCCATCTAAAAAATGATTGTGGTATGGATGTAATGCCATTGCCTGCCAATATTCTGTATACACGTATTTGATGTTATCCATGGAGCATGTCAAAAATAGACAAATATGATCTAAAATATGCTTACAAAATGTTACCGTAGCATCTAAACATGCAATTTTAAACTTAGTTATAACTTAATATTTTTAATTTTTTTACACTTACAAAGTAGGAGGTAGCTTTATCAGTTTGAACAAGATCTGTTCATTTAAACTGATTCCATTTCTTACTAAATTATTATAGCTAATATCTCTGAAAATAGAATATTGACAATATTTATACAACTATTACAACTAGAAATATTAAACATGAAATTTTATAACTTAAAAATTTTAATTATTATTTGTTATGGTAATTCTTAAATTTTATAATCTAAAAAATTGATATTGCCTTAAGGTGGCAGTTGCCGAAGTGAAACTCGTGTGGAATATAGGCAGTACGAATACAAATGAATAATACCTTTACTAATTTAGTTAATAGCTTACTACTAATTTATTGGCATACTAAATTACTGATAGAATTCTTGAAGTCAAAATATGATAACATGATATTTCTATTATTAATCTTAATATTTTCTAAATTAATGCAAAAATAAGATGTTGTCATAAAACAGCATTGCAACAAGATAACGTAATGTACGATCTATAAGGCAATTCCTTGAACCATGCATCAAGGAACGATACCTGCACTATCAGAAACACTTTTGCTTTACTAGCAGACTACTCATAGACTTAAACACCTCGTATTTTTACGTTAAACACTAAGTTTGAGAATCCCCTTTATTACGCGATATACTGCATTTATATACTCTTCCTCAATAGTTCAAGAGTCATAGTTAGTACGATTGACTTTGGAATCATTTACTGAATTAGATATAATTTTAGCTACTGCTCTCTTAATACAGACAACAGTATTTATGAACATAGACATCTGATGACTAATACAGAATAGTCAGATTATGATATGTCCTATCACGGAACATTTCCTCGATAATTTACAATCTACTATAAGTAAGTTACTATCACAATGATTCGAACTGTAAGTAGATGATTTACATTCCCTATTTTAACTATTAATTTCAGTATGTGTATATGTGTAACTGTCATAAAAAGTCAATGCTATATTAAAACACAGTATATCCAAATTAGAAGTTAACTAAATATGGATGGGCTAACAGAATTATTCTAACATAGATATTTCTACTCTAATACAGCATATAACACTGTCACAGATGTAGACAAATATTGAAGCAAACATCTTAATATTTAAAAGAAAGCTAGTACTTACAATCTTAGTGTTAAGCTGCCAAACGTCTT